AATTAAGAAAAGATGATACCTTGTTTGTTTGGGATTTTAATTATTTCACTATTAGAAATTTATGTCCCCTGTGGTGATATTGCTAATGGTTTGGAGTCACCAGTGTACTTGTATTGGACTGCATTTATAGTTTGTGCATTCCCATTGATGTTACAGATAGGTATGAGTGTTTGACTATTTCTCTCTTCTAGTTTAGTGTAGCCAAGCATTTACAGGTTGAAATATATGTTGAAAGGTTGAATATATGTTGACTTATTATAAAGTACTTTCCTTTGATATCTCCTGTATGTTATAATTTGAGAATTATGTTGGTGTTTCTCAAATGATATATAAGTAACTTATTTCAGGATTTGCTATAAAAGTGAGTATTGGGTCTGATAGGTTTGAGAACCAGTGATTTGGTGATGAAGAGGCTTTAAAGGTTTTTATGACTAGGACATCAAAGCTGCATTTTAAAAGGATTCGTCCACCATGGAAGTGTATGGCAGGGTTTGAAGAGGTAAGAGACGTGCTTTAAGCTGTCTTGAATGATGTAATACATGATGACACAGGAATGGAAAGGAAGGGGGATGGTAAGAAGCATTCTGAAGACAGAATCAATAGGCTTGGAGGATGATTGAAAGATGCAAGCCTGGGTTATTAGAAGAATTTGAGTAGAGCATCAGAAGGGAACTAATTTTGGGAGCCTCACCAATTTTAGAAGAATAAGAATTGGGAGTGGAGTGTGTATAAATAATAATTACCCTATATTTGCAGTACTTTTTGAAAAGTAATGAAAAGTCATTGTCTTCTGTATTATATGTGTAATGATGAGTTATAGATTTGACGTAAACTAGTGCTTTTTCTACTGAACTGCATTACTTTTAGTATGATATTCCATGGAGATATAGGTAAAAATTATGTAAGGTTTCTTAGTTTTTTTGGTCTTTTTTTCCTTTTTTTTTTTTGGTGAATATGCATTTGGTTTATTGGGGGATAGGATTCTGTAGCTAGAGATTATAATGTTCCAGTTTTTCATTCAATCGTTTGATCTATATTTATTGAGCACTCAGTCACTCAGCAAATGTCTCTATGGTGAAACAGACAGAGAGGATATAACAAGAACATAGCAATGTCTTTGCACTTACAGAGCTAACATGCTAGTGGAGGTAAACGGGCACATAAACAAATAGATGAAAAGTGATTCTTTATAAAATAAGAGTAATGCTATAGAGTGAATTGGTGGTGGTAATGCTCCTGCTGCTGTTTTTACTTTGTGGAGTGTGGTCAGAGAAGTTCTCTTTGAGGAAGTAATATTGGAGCTGAGACCTGAATGATGGGAAGCTAGCTTTGTGAAGATCTGAGACAAAAGCATTCCAGGCAGAGGGTGAAGAATGATTATAAAGGCTTTGAAGCAGGAGTGCGCTTCACATATTTTAGGAACAAAGAAAGGTTAGTGTGGCCAGAGCGTAGTGGGTGAGAGGACGTGAGTGATGCAAGGTAAGGATAGACAGGAAAGCAGAGCTTAGGGCAATGAGAAGCCATTCAAGGGTTTTAAGCAGGGAACTGATCTGATTTTCATATTACAAAATAGTACTTGGGCTGCAATGTGGTATTGAGACTAATAATCTAGGTGAGAGATGTTGGTGGCAATGGAAATGGGTATGTAAGTGGATGGATTCAGGATATGTTTTTGAGGTATAACTAGTAGATAGGTGCTGTTATTGTTCCTGTTTTACAGATGAGGAAACAAATTCAGAAATGTACAGGAGGTTTCCCTCAACCACACAGCTAGGAAAGGGAAGTGGTGAAGCTAGAGTTCAGTTTAAGTCTGTCTGATTCTAGACTGTGATTTCCTAAGGATATTGTTAAACACTTTAGAGTATATAAAAAAGAGACACATAGTTTGGTAAATAATTTGGGTATATGTATTGTACATATATGTATGTAATTCACATTCACGGTTGCAAGGGACAAGAACCCATCTCAAATAAAAAAGGTAGATCTGTTGGTTCATGTAAAATCCACTTTGGACAGTGCTAGGGTAAGGCTAAAAGGAAGGAAATCTGGATTCAGAAATGTGGAACTCTGCCAAGACTTTCTAGATATGTATTTTTCTGCTGGTCTGTTTCATTATCTCCTGTAGCTGATAGGCTTTTTGTAGAGGTGGGGACCATGAAAGCTGCCAGCCTGTCTTTCTAGTTTGTGACCTGAGAGGGGAGGAGAGTCTTCCCCCACTGGTTTTAATTAGCCCAGCTCTAATTGACCAACGTTGGGTCAAGTGCCCAAACTTGGATTAGTTGCTGTGTGTGTATGTGTATTTGCACATGTGTGTAAGCATGCTTGGTGCCAGTGTATATGTGTTTATAGTATGTATAATATAGTAATACTTATCCAGAGGACAACCTTTTAGCAATTTTAGCTATTCGCAATTCAGTGGAGAATCTAGAAAGTAAGTTAGTTCAAGAGTTGTGAGCAGCGAAGTATTGCATTAGATGTCTGAAGCCCCACTCTTACACATTTACTTATAAAGAGCTATTAGGCTGTACTCTGATCCACTTTTACAGACAGTTCTAATAAGCTTGGTTATCACTGGGTGGGCCTCCAGCAGATGAGCAGCAGTGTTATTAGTAAAACAAGGTAAGAGGCTTAAGAGCTATGCCGCAGAACAGGCATATTGACAGCAAAAATGACACAACCAGAAGAAAAGAGTAGGAAAAAAAATTTAAGCCTAAATTATTTAAAGTTGTCTATAGCTCCTAGTTTTTAGGTGATAGTCCTACATACTTTAGTATTTCTTGAGGGCATTCAGTTAGTATTTATCACATACCTATAGTGTGTCAGGCCTTATGTTAGTGGAGTATAATAAGATAGAACTGGTCCCTATCCTCAGTGTGACACTAGAATAAAATGGATTCTTTATACAATAGAGTGACGGAAGAGTGAATTGGTAGTGCAAATTTTGATCTCCGACCAGAGGGCACTGACAGGAAGGCAGTGTATTATAGTGGTTAGGGCACAACATATGTTGGAATCAGATGAGGATTTGATTTCCACTGTTATTATTTTACCAGGTGCTGTATTTTGGCATGTTGTCAATCTTGGTAATCCCTGTTTTCCTAACTATAAAATGGAATAATATCCATGTGGGTTGTCAGAATTAAATGAAATATGATAATAACATTTAAGCATTGTCCCTGGCATGATAGCTTTTACTGTTAGGGCTCTGGTTTGGAGAATATTGCTTACTAATTCTAAGACAAATAGAAACTATTTTAATATTTATGCAAAACTGATTTTAAAAACTGAACAAGCAACTAGGTCACAAATTATAAATTATTAACATTAATAAGTACTTATTAAGCTTCAGCATTTTGATATCTGAAAAGTGGTATCCAAATAGTCAAGGTGAGTTCAGACTCTTCATCGCTCTATATAAAGGGTTACTTATTTAATTAGTTTAGAAATTAGGCAAGTGCCACTAGTTATAGTGGTAGAAATAGAATCTTAACCAAATTACAAAGGCCAAGAGAAATTAGTTTTCAGAATAACCTACCACACATAGAATAAATTAGTTCTTGAAAATATTACAGATACCTTGTATGGGTAAGGGCCTGATAATGATGAAGTAGAATCTTAAATGGAGAAACCTAAGGTAATTTTTAGTTCAACTCTCATTTTATAGCTCAGGCAAAGCACATTATTACTTACACAGGTCATTTGACTAATGAAAATCTAAATTATTCTTGTTGCTTTTTACTAAATTTCAGCGAAGTAGAATTAATTGTGCAAGGTGAATACCACTAAAAGAAGAATTTACCACATCCCTTAGCCTACCTGTCTCACCCTCACAGACCTATGAATTCATTCATTCAACAAATACTTACTGAGTGCCTGCTGTGGTTTTTGGCAAGCATTGTCTTTGAAGAGTCGATAGTCTTGCTATAGAGGAGGGTAAAACATCAAGCACATTGATAGTTAAAGTGTTTCACCTTGCAGACCTCTGGGGAGAGATTGCTATGGATTTAGAAGTTGTACTCATCTCAGGCAAACAAATACAGGAGTTGATGGCATGTGGCAAAAAGGTTTTTTCTTCACGGAAGCTAGCAAAAGGAGACAGAAAGGGAACACAGGTGAGAGAGATGGTTTATCACTATCCTTTCCATTCAAGATGTATTTTCAAATAACAAGTATGTATTTAGGATCAACTATGTATGTAGTACTTTGGTAAATGATGGGGAAGAAATACTATAGAGGAATAATGTGGTCTCTGTCCTCAAGGAACTGACTCTTGTTAGGACAAGACTCATTTGAAATAAGGAGGGAATTCTAGCAATCTCCCTTTTCTTTTTTTGCTTAGGCAAAATACTTTTCTGAAGGATTTTTCAATACACAGGAATCTATACCATAATTATTTTCTTTATCTTTTTTTAAAAGCTTCATTATGAAAGTTTTCAAATATTTACACAAGTAGAGAAAATAGTATCATGAATCCCACCCTTCTGCCCAGCCTCCGGATTCAATAGTTATCATTTTGTCATATTTGTTTGGCTGATCCTTTTTTCTTTTTTTTTCCTCTTTTCTTTTCCTTTACTTACTTCCTCCTTCCTTCCCTGTTTCTTTCTCTCCCTCCTTTCTTCCCTTCCTTGTGTTCTAGCATTTTAAAAGAAATTTATGAAATTGTACCTTTTAAATTCTGGACACATCTATATTATAGCACTATAGCATGTATGTACAGTAATATTCCTAACCAGTCCTTGGATGACCATTTTCATTGTTTATAGTTTATTGCTTATAAGTAGTGCTTCCTGGAATATCCTGATATGCTATATCTTTTTAACATCCTTGTGCTTACATCGTTTCTCACACCTGGCTTTTCTTGGAATGGAATCTGGTAATGAGATTGCTGAAGCAAAGAGTGTGAACTTTTTATAAATTGCTGCATAATAAATACCAAATGTAATTCCCATCAACAATGTACCTGTTTATCCATACCTTTATTGACCTGGGTTTTGTCACTATTAATTCTTGCCAATCTCCCAGTATCATAGATTTTAAAGTATTTTATGTGCATTTAAAATTTATTAATGAGGCTGGGCATATTTTTTTTAATTTTTAAAATTATGTTTAGACACAAGGTCTTGCTGTGTTGCCTAGGCTAGCATGCATCTTTATTCTTACTGACCATTTGTATTTCTTCTTTTGTGAGTTCAGGCTAATCTTTCATAAATATTACTTTCAGTATTGTTTTACTTCTTTATTTAAAAACTAAGAGT